TATGTAGGTATTAATTTTATTCAATTTTAATTGTCAATTGAAATTTGTACATATTTTGTATCAGCCGTAATAAAACCGTACGAGTCAGCGGTGGCGGCAAATCGTTGTAATTTATTGAAATGAGCCCACAATTCATTCATTTTCGCGCAATCCCTAGTGTAGGCCGATATGATTCATAGAAAGATTGCATGAATGAATGCACGATTGTCCTAAGGGCGTGTAAACAGTAGGCTGCTGCATCCGAGACCAACTGCTGCACCAATTACGGATGTCCCAGGGCAAGGACGAAACTGTTACGAGCAGGTTTTTTCGGATGAGCTTTGTAGGATTTTTTTTTATATTTAAGGTTGTAATTATCTCTCATAGTAAATGTGTTCATGTTATAAAATTTTGTAAATACTACGGTTAAAATTCTCAAAAAATTGTGAGTTTTGTGTAATTTGCGGTTTCTTTTTTATTATGGTAATCAAACAGATGTGGTTACTGGTTATACTTTTACAAAATTTGGATTTGGAACATTCAATTTTTAGACATATTTTCAATTCCTAATTATTTGCTACCTCTGTCGTTTTATATTTTGAATATAATTTTATTAGTAATGTATACCGCGTATTCATAAAAATTTTACACATACATTTTACATACATTGATGTGAAAATAACATACATAATGTATAAATATGTAAAAAAATGTAATGTGGGGTCAGAATAAGCCTTCACAAGAACAGTTGAGCAAAAATATAACTGAAAAATTGATTTTTTAAGGAAATAATACCCCTACTTTTTTGCAGAAAATTTTGTGGGAAATTTTAGAATCATTTCGATGAGAGTAATTCATTTGTTTTACGTTCCACTTGACTGGAAATTAGTTTCATGAATATTTTTAGTTAATTTCATATATTTTAGCAGTTTCAGATAGTAGCGGTATGCAATACGCCATATACTTTGTAAAGCAAATAATCAACAAAATAGAAATAATCATGTTTTAATAGGCCTTATTTCATAATTTGAAAATTTCTTGTGAAAACAATTGTTACCTGTAAATGGATAAACCATGTATAAATATTTATGTTAAAAATACTACATTAAATAGATATAAAGAGGCGATAACAAATTTACACATTGTATTTAAACAATTGTTTTATTTTTCAAAGCTCTATAGGTAAAGTAGAATTTTTTAGCGGCGTGCTTATTATATGTATATAATTAAATATTTCTTTATATGAATATTAAAAATTTTGTTTGATACAACTAAAATATACGCGGTAGTCATAAATAAGTATGAAATTAAATTCCGTTCAAATCAGAAGATGACCAAATGAAAACCAGAATGCTTCTAATTTTTCGCTCGCGTCACTTAATTGCCATACCTTTTTTAAATCGATGGTCAATTGTTTTTCTATTTGTATATTTCGCATGACATTTTGACCATACATATGTCTACAACTGCTGTTTTGGTTTGGGTGAATCGTATATCCACGGAGATTTTTGGCTTTTTGGCTTTCAAATATCACTAGAAATGAAAATTTTTCTATGCGCATAAAAAAAAACGTGGGCTTAACTTTTGACGGCACAATATGTTAAAAAAATTGGAAAAATGTCATATTTTTCTTCCTATTTAATTATGTATCTTTTTAAGAGTTGATTTTAGGCGAAAATGGAAGAGGAAACAAATGTTTGTAATTAAATTTTTTACAAAACATGACTAGTTACAAATCGAATGAATCATGATTATTATGGTAAAAATCGAAAAAATCGC